TATTATATTTAATTATTATTTCATAAATTTTTAACTATGTATTTGAATATTTTCTTAATATATTTAATTTTTTAAAATTAATAAATAAATATATTTACATAACTAAAAAATAAATTTAAATAGAAAAAATGTATGCATTAATTTTTTTCATAATTTGAATTATTTTTAAAAATATTTATATTTCATGATGGGTATTTTGTTTTAATATATGTGACTTAATAATCAACTATTATTTTTGTGGATAGAAACAAAATCTTAAAAATAAAAGAGATATTTGTGTTTCATAACTTTTTTACTAGAAGAGTTCATATGAGTTTTATTTTAAAAATAGAAGGACGGTATTTTTAATGATAGTAACATATGGGAGGTTAAAGTATTTTTCTCAAATGATAATCATAATATTATTAATATTAATATTAATAATAGTTACCAAAAAATAATAATATATAATTATTATTAAAGGGATTATGTATTTTTTTTCTCTTGCCTTAGTTCTTGAAAGTAGAGCGATTTAATTGTTTAGTAAATAAATAAACAATCAGATTATAATATATATATATATATATATATATAACTCACTATAAACACCATTGAAGATTTATTTTTTAAAGAAAAATTAGATTTGATGTAAGATTATTAATTACATAAAAAGATAGAGATTGTGGTAATTACCTCGGCTTGGAAATCTTGATTTTCTTGAGGAACCTCTAGAAACTCAGTATGATTAGAAATATTTTCTTGAGGCTCAGCTTCAATACAACCATCGGAGAAATCTCTGAAGGTCGAAAATTCATGACGAACATTGGGAACAGTCGATTCCATTGAAAAAAATTCAGTGTAACATTCAAACGGATCCTGAAAATTGAGAGGGTACGGAGAAGATTATTGTACGTAATATAAAATTTTATTCACGTTGCAGCTATAAAACATACAAGGAAAAAATAATCACATATTTTCAACTATTTTGATGATGTAGATTACCCTTAAACATATTTAATATAAAGAATTTAACATGATATCAACAGCCATTTGAGTTAAGAACAACAGCTAGAAAAGAGGATGAAAAACATTCAAAAAGAATAGGAACAAGAGAAGAAAAAAAATACCCACAATATTTTTCAATTATACTTAGTATAAAAAATTTAACAGTACATTACCTTTGCGATATTGTTCGCAGGATCTATGTCTTCACCTTCCATACGATTTATGTTGTCACCTTCCTCAAGCTAGGCTCATGTGTATCTTCTGTGTAATGCTCTCTTATTATATATGAAATTAATACCAAGAAAGGATAAGTATATTATAAAGATTTTAAATTTAATTATATAGTATATATTATATATTTACTTTTTTATATATTGGCCAGTAATAATTTTATATATATTTTATATTATTTACACAATTTTCTTATATAATTTATTACTAAATGGAGTTAAAATATATGTTTAATCTTAATTTAAAATTATTTTATGCGTACGGAGCAAGAGAATATACTTCATAAACTCTTGGATCAATTTTACTTTTGTTAAGATCCCTTGAATCAAATTTTAATTGGCTAGGATTCAACATTTTATGAAATAATGTTTTTCAATTATAGTTCTAAACTATTTAAATAAATTTTATAAATCTTAACTCTCAACTCAATTTCATGAACTAAATTAACCACCTCTCATGAACATTATTAATATATATTCTCTTCATATTTTAATCATTTTGTTTCGTTTTTATTTCGAAAGCCTTTCTCTTGTTTTTCCCTCTGCTTCGTTCAAATATTCTATCCCCAACCAAACATGGGGTAAGAGTCTACTGTGATGACATATAATTATGAAAAATATAATCCTATAGCTAAAAAAAAAAAAAAATCAAGACTGTAGATTCAATTTTGTTGATAATATGAATCAAGTTGTGATTGATCGTACGTACCTTCTTGATGTGAATAGCTTGGAGATACTTTGTTTTCTCACACCTCATCCAAAGTTTGACTCAATTGATGTGGTGGTCAACACTAGAGAAGATCTACTTATATATTTGCATTTCTTTGATCAGGTCAAATCATATTGATCTCAAAATATAATAAAAAAATGTGACTTATTTTTAAGATTTTGTACATAAAACAGTAATTTTTTTGAAAAAATGAAGTTACATTTTTATTCGAAAAATAAGAGATTGAATTTCATATTTAATAACAATTCATTTTTCTTAATAAAAATTTAATCATTTAAATAAATTGTATCATTAGTCTTTTTTAAATAAGTGGAAAATTTTCCTTACATTTATCTCCTTTTAATTTTTAAAAACTATTTGAAACTCTCATAAAATCAGATGTCACAAATCCAAATCTCATTTCTACTTTTAAGATTTTGTTTAATTCATTCAATTGTGAGTTGACTATTGAGTCACATTTGTTAGACTAATATATTCTTGTTAAACACATATGTTTAAAAATTACCCAAGTTACTAAAAAAATTTAATTCATATATTTTAAACATATATGTTTGATATTTAAGTTATTAAACTTATTTATTTAGTAATTTTAAATAATTTAAATATATAATTTGGCTAAAATAATATTTCAAATAATATGATAAAAATTTTAAGAAATAGAAATTTAATATAATAAAATATAAATTAGTTATTATAATTTAGATTAAAATACACCAACCTCCCATTTTTTTATTTTACATTAATTACACTGAACTCCATTATATTTTTAAAAATTATTTAAACCTCCCTTGAAATCAAAATTTATATAATACATTTATCCTCTACTTTTAATATTCTATTTCCATCAATCCAATAATCTTAAATAACATATTTTAGACAAGAATATCCCCTTTAACATAAATATTTATTATGCCACGCAAAAAAAAAAAAACATAAATACTTTTTATGAGTCAGATAGGTTTCCCAATGATAATTATAATGCATATATTTTACATTTCTTGTCTTATTTTAAATTTTTAGTTATGTAAAAAAATTTAGTAATTACTTAAATTTTAAGTATATAAGTAGCCAAAAATAATATTTCTTACATATATGAATAAAAAATTAATTAAGAAAAAAATTGGCCAAAAATAATGAATTATAGATTTAATATAATGAGAGATAAATTAATTAATATATAATTTATATTCACTTAATTATTTTTAATATAATTTATGCATCTTAAATTTAATATTTATGTAAATATAGCCACAAATATCATAAAAAATATAACCATAAAATTAAAATAGGGTGAACGGCAGAGATAGAATGAGTCTAAGAAAAAAGGAAATTTAAACTAAATAAAAAAATCCATCTAAAAAGGACATTTGGCATTTTCGAATATAATCCACAAAGAAATCAATGATTGGCCTTCAAACTTGCATGAAAAATAATGAAAAATATTAATCCATGTAAAAATTAGGAAATTTAAAATATTTACAATTGGACCCAAATTTTTGCAATACATTTTAACAAAATTAAGTAATAATTCAAATAATGTCTAAAATAACTTGATTTAAACCCAACATTGATATTAAAAAGGAAAAATAACAGTAAAACACCTTCGAAATATATAACATTTCCTAGTTTTTATGGATTTTTTTAGAAAATGACTTATTCGGCCCTCCAATCTCAGACCACAGTTTCCTCTTCTGTGGCACTATAAAATCCAATGCATTGTGGTGAGTGTAGGAATCGCTTGACATTAGACTTGGGTCTCTATCCCTCAATGTTGGAATGGCCGATTGGAACGTCGTTTTGAATACTAACACTTTGAATATGTTACAATAAAACAAGCAAAGAAAACACAAATCACTGAAGAAAAAAGTGTTGCCGTGGAAAAAGAAGAAATTGGGTGGCCTGAGATTGAAGGGGCAAATATGTCATTTTCCAAAAAACTAAAATGACAGACAATTTCCAAAGGGCTAAAAAGTAATTAATCATATTTTGCATTGCCTATTTGTCGTTTACATAGTATTTTGAAGATATTTTATGGTTATTCTCCCTGTGAAAAATTGAGATAAATGCAACATAAAATTAGTAAAAATTAAAATCTGTCACATCCAAAATATAAATCATTTAGCAGTAGGAGAGAGAGACAGTGCACCAACAAGGATGAGATTAGATATGATTGCTCTTAATAGTTTGTAAGTGATTTAAAAAACATAGATTTAAATTTGTGTGTATAAAAAAAAAATGTTTGAGAGAGCTCTCTCCAAGGGTGAGTTTAAATTACTTGTAGATTAAGAAATCTAGTAATATATTTGTGTCTTAACTCTTAAGAATATATCATGTGTGCGTATATAATATAATTTAAATAAGAAAAAAAATATATGCAAGTTTTACAATTTCACACAATTTTAAATTAGGTTTTAACAATTTATTTGTTTTAATTAAATCACTATTAAAGTAAAAATCTTTACATTTTTTTAAAAAAACAAAATTAAGAACTTTTATATTCTTATTAAATGATTATATGAGTTTAAATTAATTACATAATTTTATAATTATAAATTTATATAATTATATTGCCTGTTAAATATTTTTTATACATATATAATTTTTATAAAAATTATAAAAAATGTAAACAATGGATTAAATCAATTTTTTAATATTTTGTCTAAAAATATTAAATTAAATTTTTTGCAAAATCTAAAAATATTTATGTTTTGTGAAATTTAATAATTCATTATTAATTTTAACATTCAAATATTAACATATATAATATATAAAGTCAAGAAGGCTTAGTTAAAATAAAATAAATTATAGGGATTTGATTTAAAATTAAGTGAAATTATAAGGACTTGTAGATATATTTTTTTAAATAAAATAAAAATATGATGTCATAAAAAGCTTGTTGCTAATATACGTACTTTGTTAATAAGCCATCCATAATATTAAAAAACTAATATCAAATATATTTTAAAGATTAGATTTATGAACATCTTGAGGAATATGAAGATTCATAACGAAATGCTATTTGGACATACACGACACTGCCGTTTGGGTGTTCACAAAACGGCGAGTGTGTTGCTTCATAAAACACAAGATTGGTCCCTCATGATCGAAAAAGTGACGCAGTGAAGTGGACGCTTCTCTGTGATTGAGAGCTTGGATCAAAAAATCTTCCTCTGCCATGGAAGGCGAATCAGTTGGCGACAATGCCTCCCTCATCAATTCCTTCTGCGAGATCACTTCTTCTTCAAGGGAAGAAGCCATCTTCTTCTTGGAAAGCCACAACTTCGATCTCGACGCTGCCGTTTCCACCTTCTTCGACAACAATAACAACAACGCTACCGCCAACAACAACCCTATTATCGATCCCAACGTTGTTGTGAACGATAACCCTGACAGAGTCTCGCGCCCAATTCTCACCTCTGTGGCTTCGTCTCCGGAGTCTCCGTCCGAATCCCACTCCCCTGATTTCTCGCCGTCGCAATCGCCTTCGCGATCTCGGTCGGCTTCTCCGACGCTGTCTCGGGCGCCGTATGAACTTCGATCTCGGAGGAATCGGGGTAAGTCAGCTGGGAAGGCCTCCGGAAGCCGTTCGGGGAGAATTCGGACGCTTTCTGATTTGAAACGGTCCGTGCGTGATAGTTCTGATTCTGATTCTGATGAAACCCAGGAGTATTATACTGGAGGGGAGAAGAGGTATCGATAATTTTAATTCTCTTTTTCTTATGTGTTTGTGACTCGGCTGGGGTATGTTGGAGCTTAATTTTGGCAAATGTTGCAACTTGACTGTGGAAATCCTGAGTATTTGTTCAATTCTTGTTTCCCAGTGGTTTGAAATTCCATTAATTGCAGTTACAACTTCTACTAATCCTGGTGAATAAGAAACTGGCTGTGGAGGTTGCTTAGTTTTAAGATTTTCCGTTTCTGATTCTATTTGTATAAATTATCTGAACTATAACTCTGAATCGGTCTACATTAAGTTGTTTTACATCCCATAAAATTTGGGAAACTGACTGCACTCGTCTGGAAAGATGCACATCTTTAATTTTGATCCATTACATTTACATGTTGTCGTGCCACATCATCCACTTACTTATTGGAATATCATCATTTTGAAGAGTTCTGTATGAAGAAGGCAAGATCACACGTGATGGAGAATCCAAATCCAAATTTGTACTATCAATTGTGTTGTATTAAATAAAGTATTGATATTCTGAAGAGAATGGGATAAAATGCATAGGAGAGGCTCCATTTAATTTATTTACTATCAATTGTGTTGTATTAAATAAAGTATTGATATTCTGAAGGGAATGGGATAAAATGCATAGGAGAGGCCCCATTTAATTTATTTTTTTCTAGAATAGGTGTAATGTGTTTTGGTGCTAAATAGAAGAAACATTTTCTCTTTCACAGGAATGTGGCTTTTTACGTCCATGGCTGAAATTGATTTGTTCTTCTTATCATTACAGTGGCATGCTTGTCCAAGATCCCACCAAAGGTAACAGTGTTGATGATTTTTTTAACCAAGCAAGACAGTCTGCTGTTGATGTCCCTTCTGAACATCCTCAAAAGTCTACAAGTTTTACTGGAGCTGCAAGACTGCTTTCTGGTGAGACAGTGCATAATGCTGCTCCTCCCCCAGAAGTTGTTACACACACAATCACTTTTTGGAGGAATGGGTTTTCTGTTGATGATGGACCTTTAAGGCGTTTAGATGATCCACAAAATGCATCCTTTCTTGAGGTAACTTGCGTTAAGAATGATTTAGAAAGTTCTTGATGGGTTTTATTATTGATTTCCAAATTTATACTTGTGTAACAAATTTATTGCATTAGGCAATCCATGTGGCTAACTCCACCTAGTGGGATAATGTTTGTTGTCGTTGTAATAAATATATTGAGATTTGTTGTCTCTTTATTTACCTTGTATAAGGGAATATAGTTACAATCATTTCCATGAGAGGTTCAAACCTCAATTTGGATTTGGTAATTTCTAAATTCATGGCTGACATATTCACTTTGAAGCCCCTTGTATGTATTAGCTATATTGATTGAGTTCAATTCTGTCTTCCATTACCATTGGTATCATGATCTCTTTTAAAGTACTACTACGTTTATGATTATTTTATTCTTGATGCAGAGTGTAAAGAATTCTGAGTGTCCCCGAGAACTTGAACCAGCAGATCGAAGGACTTCAGTCCATGTTGATCTCATACGGCTGGATGAAAACTACCCTGTACGCCCATGTCTATTTCGTCACCCAGGGCAAAATTTGTTCTGTATCTGCATATGAATTTTAGTAATTACTTTTCTTTGTGCTTATCCATGCAGGAACCTGCGAAGCCCCGGCACCTTCCTTTCCATGGGGTTGGAAGAACTCTAGGTAGCAGCAGCTCCACCAGCGAAGCTGCTGGTGAACCTATTCAAACAACTGTTGCTGGTAGTACTCCAAACACTGCTCCATTGCCTTCAATGGGTTTAGTTGTAGATGAATCACAGCCAGTGACATCAATCCAGCTGAGGTTAGCTGATGGCACTCGCATGGTTTCTCGCTTCAATCACCACCATACAATTAGAGACGTTCGAGCTTTCATCGATGCATCAAGACCTGGCGGAGCAAGAACTTACCAACTTCAGACAATGGGTTTCCCTCCCACAAAACTTGCTGATTTGGATCAGACTATAGAGCAAGCAGGTATAGCCAATTCAGTTGTCATTCAAAGATTGTAGGTTTGCCTTACTGTCATATACAGGCCAACTTGAAGGCACCACATTTATGATTACAGGTTATTCTACATTTTACATTAGTAAATTTATTTTCCTAAAATATCTGTTGTTAGTATGCTTCTTCACAGATTTCTTTGATGAAGAAAAATGCTGGTTGACTGATAGCATTAGATTATTTCTGGGGAAGTTAGTTTTAAAATTTTGTTTGATCCAATGTCTTGAGAGTTATGCCCTATTTGGTAGTATGGAAGAGTTTTTGATGAAAGCGAAAGTGTTCTAATGAGGTGGAACTGAAATTTTAAAACATGTTTGGTATATACATGGGAATGAAAAATAATTCTCACTCTTGTCTTACCTCTTAAGTCTGATGGAACCCATGTCTTGGCTCTTAAGTCTGATGGAAAGAACTGGGTTCACACACATAGGCAGCAAACATACAATTTTTAGACCTCCACTTCTTTATCTCAGTTCCAACTACCAAATGAGGCTTTATTGTGTTCTTTCCAGATCCAGTTTTGACATAGTTAATCATAAACTTCAGCTAAACCGTATAGAATCTCTTTTAGGTGTAATTTACCTCGGCATATTCTAATTCTTGACCTCAGACTTGAGAATTGTGCTACTTCCCTTGTGTTTGTAGATTCATCCAGTAAATTAATGAGGGAAAAGGTTTAAATCTTCTCATTCATTTGAGAATATTTTAATTTTTTTTACCACGATAATATTTTAATAATAATAATAATAGATTTTATTGCAGTTTAAAATATATCATAATAATTTCTGTACATTAATCTTAAATGAAATTTATTTTGAAATTCAGTTAATATTAAATAACATGAAATGATTGAGCAATTTACTAAACAAAAAAAGCAAGTTTTTTCACCATTAACCTTTGACAAGCCGGGTTTCAACAAATATATTATACTTCTATTCAAGATAGTTAAACAACAATAACAACAAGTCTTTATCCTACTAGTTGGGGTAGGCTACATAGATTGCAAGACGTCATTGTGTTCTATCATTTATCAAGCTTTTAGGAATATTATTAATTAACAGATCACGTTCAATAACTTCTAAAAGTGTTCTTTTAGGCCTTCCTCTACCTCTCTTAATCGGACTCAAAGTTATATATTCCACTCTTCTCACTGGTGCCTCCCTTGGTCTTCTTTGTACATGTCCAAATCATCTCAACCGATTTTCTACCATTCAAGATAGTTCAAATCGAATAAATTAGGATTCTTTTGGCCAACAACAAACTAGGATTCATTACTAATTTGCAAGTTATAGCTTTTACCTTTTTAATATTGTGTATTTGCATTTCAGAAGTATTCGTATCTCATCAATAAAATATCGACTGTTTTCTTTATTAATTTATTTTGACTGCAATTGTTTTTATTGGAATTGGCTAAAAAAAATAAAATAAAATAATATTTAATAATTTGGTCATTCGAACTAATTCAAATGAGCTAATAAGCTTGAAGTGTTATAGTCAGTATTAACTGTGAGTTTTTAAATATATTTGCGTATATTAAGCTCTATTTGAAAAGTTTAGCTTGTTTGTACTACAGGCTCTTTTTGTTTTCCAACATGTTCTTGGTTTGTTTACCTTATAATTAAGAGATGCCATTTTCTTTTATATTCAAAATAAATATATTATATTCAGTCCTAAAATCATCAGGTATACAAGTGGTCCATAATTTGAGGGAATAGAATGTGCATATCTTAATCACTTAACAAAATATTTTAACAGCATTTTGAAGCAAGAAAAAAGCAGCAGCTCTGAATGAATCAAACAATATCTATCTCCCTAATTTTCCAATATTTTAACCAATTTATTAATAACTTATTATCTATTTGACCTATTGGACACACACAACATCACCTCTTCTACTTAAAAAAAAAATCTATAATTATAATTATGTTAATGTGAAGACAGTTGTAAAGTTGAAAAATTAATTTATATTTATAATAGTAATTAACTATACCTGATGATAGTTTTGAATTCAATTATAAATAACGTGCTTTAAAAAAAATAAAATAAAATAACATTAAAGATATTGTTCTAAGACATGTTTATATATTTTTTAAATATTTAAATCTGAAATACTTATCTAATTTTTTATTTTATAATAAAAAAGATTTGAAAAAAAAAATCAAACAGGCTTTTTCCTTTGTTTTTTTTTTTTTGGGGTTTTGTTTTGATACTAAGACAAAGTTAAGAAACATAATGTATCGAAAAATATCTCTAGGCTAAATTATTATAAAACAATTGAGAAGAAAAACTAAGTGCAGAATAAAATAAATCAAACAGGTCTTTGATCATTTGCTATGCTAACATTATTTTATGCTTTTATATTGCACAGCAATTCATCTATTATTTTTTCACCAGAGAAATAACTGAAACAATATTCTGTTCATACACTACATGTATAAATAAAGCTGAAACACCAAATCATCAAATATAATATAAATAATATAATAATCTATGCCTCTTCCTTCCCATCAACACCAATTATCAGTTCACTTGCACTCACAAGTTCTTTCTCTTTCTCTCCACTTTCATTATTAGGGTTTAAGTTCTGCTGCACTTTGTACTGATGTCTGCTTGCTAAGATCAGAAACAATGTGAAGTTTAGTACTCCCAGAACTGCAAGCAACCAATAGAAGTAATCTAACTTGGCCATGTCAAGATTGCTTCTCAGCCATGTCTTCTTGGTCACCTTGTCCACAATCAAAACCAGAAAACTACTCACAAAGAATCCCATTGAAAGTGTGCTCAAGAACAGCCCAGTGCTCATTGATTTCATCCTCTCTGGTGCTTCTCTGATGAAGAACTCGAGTTGTCCCACGTAAGCAAACGCTTCTCCGGCGCCGACTAGAAAAAACTGAGGAACCAACCAGAAAGCTCTAAGTTTCAAGCTAGGGTTCCTCAAGGCATGGTTTCTTCTTTCTTTCTCAACAATTGCAGCAGCAACCATGGCAACAATGGAGAACACAAGGCCTATTCCGATTCTCTGGAGGCTGGTGAGTCCTTGGACATTCCCGGTGAGTTTCCGGGCTGCCGGGACGATGAGTTTCTCGTTGATGGAAGTGAAGAGGAGGATGGTGATGATGAGGAAAGATGAGAGAGATCCTGAAGGGATCTCAATGGATCCAAGTTTTCTGTTCATGAATGTTGCTTGCTCAACAGTGAAAGTGGTCATTTGAGAGTACACTGTCCAAAAGAGAATGCCTGTAGACCAAATGGGAATGAGCTTGATAACCATTTTCACTTCTTCAACTTGAGTAACTGATGAAACCAGCCATGAAGAATAGTTATTCTTGTTTCCTTCTTTCTCATCATTTTCATCTACAATTGCAGCCTTGTCAAGGAACCTAATAACAATCAAACATGAAAAATCATATTATCTTCTCAGAAATATTATTATAAATTACAAATAATATCCATAGAATATTTTTTTTTTGGGTTAAAAAATATAAGACATTTTTTTAATGTAAGAAGATGTTCAAAAATAGGCTAAAATAATGTATAATACTCATTGACATTTGAGGCAGCTGCATATACCTGTACCACCTTTAAATGTTTAAAATTAATTTCACTATCCTTTAATTTTTTTTATCAAAATTGCCTATTATTAATTACTCTGTTATATTATTAACAAAGTTTGCCATGTCAAAATGAAAAAAGCCACGTAGAGGCTTAGGTGGTATTTTATGTAAGCAAATAATAGAAGTATATAAATTATGTATAATTTTTAAATATTTACTTTTATACATTTATATTAATTTTATTCATTTTTTTGTTATTAATGATGCATAGTTTTGTTGTATTAAAGGATAAATTTTTATTTATATAATTTTTATCAAAGACATCTTTTAGATATTTTTCTTTTCTTTGTACTTAATATAAAAAGTTATTTTAATTGATAAAGAATAATAAAATTATAATTTTTCTCTTAAATTGTATTAACCGTGAAGTAAGAACAAAGTTCTCCAATTAAAAAATGAGAGCATCATCATGAATGCTAAAAGTAAAAATAATAATTTTGTCCCCTTCTTAAATTAGTGCATTTTCACCCTGTGTTTAAAATCACAGCAATCTCTCTTATGTTAACTTTAATTATTAAGTGATTAAAAAATTATAGAAAATGATTAAAAAAATTGCAAAAGGATCCAAAAATTACAAGTTTAGTCATTTTCTATAATTTTTAGATCCTTTCATGTGATTCTTTTGGTTCTTTTTTAAAATTTTTTAATCAACTAACAGTTTAAGTTAATGATAGGGGTATTATCATAATTTTAAATGCTTAGGAGTAAAAATGCACAAAAAAGGGGGGAAAAAAAGACTATATGGTTCCCAATTCCTGAGCTTATAATATCATGGCCAAATTACCATTTTACCTTGTATTATATATATATATATATATAATTTGAATTTGAATTTAATTGAATTATACCCGACATATCATCAAGAGAGACCACTTTTAGAACGACAACTGAATAATTAAAAATAATAAGCAAAGGTTATCATAAATATGAAATATGCCAACCACAAACATGTCATATCTTCATAATTAATCGATGTCCAATAATTGAAGATGATTACGACACTTGATTGCTTGCTGCTTTAGCAACGTAACTTCACCAGCCATGCTTTCGTTTTGAATGGAAATTAGACTTTGATTATGAACTTGTCCCCATCCAATGAACACCAACTAATTGCACCTAACTTAATTAGTTGATTAAACATAAATTTATAGACATATAATTATATTTTCAAGAATGTGAACTTGTGAAGTGAAGGCATGAAAAGACTATTAGTAATATTTCATTTGATCTTATTATAATTTTTATATTTTTTTTACTAGTATATAATTTGCCAACTTTTACTATCATATTAATTTCATATATATATATATATATATATTATATTAAAAGTTATAATTTTAGAAATATTAATATTTACATTAGGTACATATTCCTTTTCTTAAATTGAAAAACTAATGCCCCTAAAATTATATAATCTTTTATTGAAAACCATATTCGTGTACGAGTAAGTCCCGCATAGACGGTAGCTATGCTAAATCCTAAAATTGGTTTTTCTAGTTATTTACAAAATTTGAATCTTATTCAATATATATATATATATATATATATCTCGAATTCACTTAATCGTTGGTTAATTATTTACTATGTTTTTTAATTGAAAGATCCCTGAATATTTTCAATTGATCAAATGCCACTGTGACTTTGAAAAATTATATATATATATATATATATAGGAGTGGAGTTTTAGATTTTACACACCTTCCCTTAATTATTTTCTTGCATCGTGTCCTATTTTTTTATATTTTAAATATTAAATCCATTTTATTTTTTTAAAACTCAAATTCAAAATTTCAAATTTTTAACTCAAAACCTAGTAACATAATATGTATATATATATATAATTATTTTTTAATTATTAAATTATTTTAAAAATTACTTTTTAAAACAATTATCCCCTAAACCACGGTCCTGGTTCTGCCAATGACCAGAAAAAACTCATTATGTTTTTAAATATAAGAAAATTTCAATCAGCCCAAGTAGTGGAAGAAAATTTGTTAATCCTAATAATTATATGTGAAATTGAAATATTTGGACTAAAATACTCTTATAATTTATGTTTACTTTTTTGCTTTAATTCAATGGTACTTATTTATTAATGAGATATAATTTGAAAAAAAGTAATTAATGTTTTTTAGAAATTTATAGGTTTGCTTATAATAATAAAAAAAATAAAAGGTAGTTTAGTATATACATACCTCAATCTGTGTGTGTGTGGGACCTCAGCTTCATGGAATCCATTAAGAAAGCTTGGATGAGAAGGCAAAGGAAGCTTCCTCTTCTTCCAAGCCAAAATCATGACTCTCCAAATAACAGTCAAAGGACTTCCTTGAGCTTTCTTGTACCTATAAAAAGGGGTCCCACAAAGCAACACTGCCACAGCAATCACCATTGTTCCTGCTGAGATTCCATATCCCCAACCTCTTCCCACATTGTCTTGCACATAAACAAGCACTATCACTGCAAACAATGACCCTATGCTTATGAAGAAGTAGAACCTGTTGAAGAAGAATATCATCTTCCTCTCTTCTTTTGGATCTGATGTGTCAAACTGGTCTGATCCAAACCCTGATACATTGGACTTTATTCCTCCTCCTGCTGCTGCTATGGTGTATAGTGCTGCATACAGCAAGGCTAGCTGGTTTCCGGTCGCCGCGACGCACTCGTGGTGCTGTCTCCGGACTTGTGTGCATTCCGGCGGCCTCATCGACGGGATGGTTGTGGCTAAAGTGAGGAGAAATACTCCCTGATGTGTTAGAAAACAGCACAAGAACTTACTTAGAGATTACTCACTCAATAGCCTTCATATCATTCTTTCACAAAAGCAAATGTAAATAATACATTTAAAAGAGCGAACTAGAAAAAATGATGGACATTTAAATGATATTTTTACATGTATACTAATTGGTGCATAAGAAATGGCACAAGAACTTATTCAGAGATTGCTCCTTCAATAGTCTTGATATTACACATTCACAAAAGTAAATGTAAATTGTACATTCAAGGAGAGATTTCAAGAAAATAATGATGAGCATTTAAATGATGTTGCATGAATACTAATTGTTGCATAAGAAATGGCAACAAATTATTTAGAAATTGCTCTTTCAATAGTCTTGGTATCACACATTCACAAGAGTAAATGTAAATTGTGCATTCAAGGAGAGATTTCAAGAAAAAATGATGAGCATTTAAATGATGTTACAAACACACTATTTGGTCCATGAAAAATGACACAAGAATTTATTTAGAGATTGCTCTTTCAATAGTCTTGATATCACGCATTCACAAAGTAAATGTGAATTGTACATTCAAAGAGAGATTTTGAGAAAAAATGATGAGAATTTAAATGATGTTACAAACACACTATTTGGTGCATGAGAAATGACACAAAAACTTATTTAGAGATTGCTCTTTCAATAGTCTTGATATCACACAGACAAAAATAAATGTAAATTGTACATTCAAAGAGAGATTTTGATAAAAAATGATGAGAATTTAAATGATGTTACAAACACACTATTTGGTGCATGAGAAATGACACAAGAACTTAATTTCTCAATAGGATGTTACATGCATACAAGCTAATTGGTGCATAAGAAATGGCATAAGAACAGTTAGAGATTGCTCGCTCTATAATCTAAATCTTTTGAATTGATCACTAATATGAAAGTATTTAAAACATTTGAGGAGAGAATGGGAAAAAAACGAGAAGTATTTAAATGACCTTACACATCATTGGTGTATTAGAATGGGAAAGTTGGTAAATAGGATCATGGAGTAAAAATATTTCATGGAGTAAAAATATTTGGAAAAAGGACCAGGGTCTTTCAAGTCAATTATGGTTTAGTGAATTAGAAAGGACTAAGGTCCTGTAAGAGAATTAAATTTATAAACTTAATTCTCTTGAAGGACCTCAGTTCTTTTTCCCAAATATCTTCCCCTCAGGGTACAAAGACTTGCTTAGAGACAGATAGTTAATAACAGACACGACACAAGAAAATTTGAGGTGTAGATAAGTAATTTAATAGTGTCATTTTGTTTAAAAAAAATTAATATTGTCTAAAAGGTATTAATTATAGGTGTGATTGATCTGTTCTTAAGTGTATATTTCTTGGAATTGTATGAACTAGAGAGACTAATCAAGTGCCCTGTTCACTCAGAAGAAAATTTGATGCCATTAATTGTGTAAGCCTGAAATCTGTAATCTAATTTCTTTTCTGTGTTATATTTTCTTTTCTTTTCTATTTCTTTTTTACTTTTCCCCTGAAGTAATAAGATCGTTTTATTTGATTTAATCCATTCATTCACCACTTTACCCTTGTCACTTGGAATTAGTCATAGTTAGTCTTAGGTGTTCTGTTCTGTTTTGAAAATATTGCCAAAAGTCAAAACAGAGCAGAAAAATTAACTATTTCCTTTGTTTTGTTGTATTTTTAAATTTTTTTATTTTTAAATAAAGAGAAAAATTTTTTTCTCCACATGAGTGTTGTGCTGTGCAAGTTGAATTAACAAGAAAATAAAAATCATATTATTTGCGGTCAAAAAAAATTGACTAGTCTGTTTGTGTATCTGTTCAAAGCCAGCTAAGCCATGTTTTCACTAAAGGCAAATATTTGTTGCTTCTCACAAAACGTTGATTTTGAAATTGTGAAAACAGATAACCAACCAAACAACTATAAGTCTGGTTTTTTTTTTTTAAAAAAAAAAAAACCAGATTTACCAAACAGAACATTTTCTTTTCCTTAATACATAGTTTCTAACTGTAGCAATCACTCACAGGACCCAAATCCTTTGACTTTTGGAGAAGATAATTATAGAAACATGCATGAAGATTAATTTCCACTTAACAAAAGAAGAAATTAGAATCTGCAGATTTAATAACTATAAGAGCTTGAAACTTAATTACCAGAGCAGCTACGGAGGCTGAAATAGCAACAGTGAGATATCTTCCAAGTTTTGCATCAGCCAGAAACCCACCAAGCAGCCCAAGAAGGTTCAGAGTTCCAAGAAAATTGGTCACAATGGTTGCAGATTTTGCTGATGCCAGATTCAAATTTCCCACTAAGTATGTCACCAAGTTCATACTTATTCCCATCACACATATTCTCTCTGACAGTTCAGTTACTGCCATAAAAAAATAAAATGAAAAGTTACATTACAATCCATAATTAAGTTGAATGGTAAGAAACTTAACACCCCATCAACCAAGGTTTTGAATTTAAGCTTTGCAAGTAGAAAAAAAAAGATGTTGGTAGAGCTCTCGAGCTGGTTTACTCTATCAGATCGCTTTTTAATGTAGGCACTCCAGTAAGCTCCTCCTCAACATTTATGAGTGTTCTCTTTCTCAGAAGTTCTTCGATATGGGCACTGGGCTTTGGTAAGCTCCTCCTCAACATATAAGAGTTTCTTTTTTTTTTTCCCCAAAAGGTGTTTCAATATGAGCACTCAAGTAGGTCTTTTATTGTGTCAACTTGAATTTAGATTAGTTGGTGTTATAAGATTTTTTTCTCAGAAAAGAAAATGAAGAAGCAAAAGCCAAAATGCTGAACTTGACTCTGAAGATTTTCAAAGTTGTGAGCATCATCACCTAAGATAAGTCCGGCAGCCAACCAGCCGCCGGTACGAGATTTGTCAGCCGGCTGACCTCGAAAATCCACTGCAACACTGTCCTCTGCATTTTTCTTCCCTCCATGGCCAGAAACCAACACCTGCAAAGATTAAAAAGTACAAACAAACAAACAAAAAATTAATTCCACACATCTGCATCCTTGAAGTGAATGATGAGCTAGCTTAGTTACTTACCATGCTTTCTGTTTGCTGAGGAAACTGCGAAGGTGTTTAATGTTTTGAAAAAGAAGCTCTTCGTAGTATGGGAAAGAAGAAAGAGTTTGATTGATGATATAGATGAAGATGATGATAAGTTTTGAGGGTGTATAAAGAATGATTAACTTGTTTTTTTGTATCTGTCTGTATTTGTTGTGGCAATAGGCTCCACAAGTGTTGTTGATGATTGGGTTGAAGACTCAAAGAAGTTCATCTATAAGGCATGTGAGTCCCGTATGTGCTTTGGAGGTATTTAGTTTCAGAGAACTCTGTGGCTCTGCTGTGTGTGGATGCATTGGCCTAAAGGACAATGCGATTTTAGAGCTAGGCATGTGCCTTTCCTTTTTCTTTCTTCTTTCTTTCTTTGTTATTTTTTTTTTCAAATAATGAATCATATAATCAAATATGAGATCTCATACCTATACGAATATAACCCATTTCACTAGAATTAATGTTTACTGGTTAATTTGATTTTATTAAATTTACTAAATTCATATCACAACGATATGCTAATTAGAGTTGAGTTTAGTAAAAAGGATTGATATCTCTTAATGCGATAAATTAAAATTTGAATATAAGTACTCAAATTTGGTGTCTACTCATGCCTCAAATAGGAATATCCTAATAAGAAAATAATAACTTATTAGACTTATTGTTATCATATTGTAACTATAATTAAATTAATATATATTTAAGATTTTTATATGAAAATTATTGATTTCCATTAATTTTTTCTATTAGATTAATTATTTTTTAATAAGTTTTCAAATAGATGGTTAGCAAGGATGTTCTGATTTTGAGAATCATAAAACTTGCATATATTTTGTTGGATTTAAATTCAGTGAGTCTCCTAAATACACTCACTCAATAAATGTATTAATTTTAGTATTTAAATTCATCAATATTTGAAAATTATTAAAATATATTTTTTTAAAAAAATTCAAAACAATTAACATGATTAGAACACTCTTTACATATGATGTTACCTCAAAAAATATGAGATTTGATACTTTTTAAATATTATAAAAAAAATCATCAACAACTATTCAATTAATGCCATATAAAACACTCACTGAATATATTTAAATTACTCACTGGATTCAAATCTCATATTTTTAGTCAATAAATTTACAAAATTATGATTATGATTATGATTATTTTATTATTTTTTTCCCTCCTTTTCCTTCTATGTATATTTTTATTTTTTTTCTATTTCTGTCAGGGACAAAATTTGTCCTTACTCAAATACGTTCCCTTGACCGCACAGATCCAGAGTACCATCTTGGTCACGGGATAATCAACGAACACAACTTAACAAAGCAACAAAGACATGAGAGAGAGAGAGAGAGAGAGAGAGAGAGAGAGAGAGCTTATTCCCAATTTGGGTCCTAACTTTGCGTCATGAAGTCATTTTCACAATGAATGAATTATTGCAGCACAGCCAAAAACTTCAACAAATATGCTTTCAATATTTCTTTCTTTTGAATCATATTCGTACATTTGATCATTATAAGCAAATTGAATCACTATGTGATCCACCAGCAATAAATATAACATTGACGATAGAGATTTCTCTTCTTCTTCTTCTTCTTTTTTTTTTTTTTGGTTTTTGTGAAACATTACAAGTGTCTTCCTCTAATAGATTAATCTTTTTCAAGATATAAGCAGAAATTCTTGGGGGAAATATCACAGCTGCAAAAAAAAAAAAACTTTGTATATCCGTTATAAAAGACTTTTTACATCGTAAAAGAGTATAGAAAATAAGTTAATATTAGTTTTTCTTAAAAACTGAGTAGAAAGTCTTTGTTACATCAGTTTTTGTAGCTGGAAAGCTTTTTTTGCCCCTTAAAAAAATGTTTGTATTTTCTTATTAACATAATAACTAAACAACGCAATTAATAACTATACAAGTCAAAACTGTATTGTAGTATTTATTTGCAAAATGAACTAACTATAACTAATAATAAAAATAAATGTAACTAACATTTTATCAATCTAATTGTCCAAATAATCAAAAACTGTCGAAATTATTCTTCCTTATTGTTCACTTTAACCACAATATTTGGAAAAATTGATGAGCCAAAACATCTCAAATACCATCAATCTTTTCTTCAGTGTAGGGATCCATATTATAAATAATTTAAATAATTTAATCAATCGATCAGTACAATATAATTTGCAAACAAGAATCTCAATTGAAAATTTTGTTCAAAAAAAAATCAATTGAAAACTGATATTTATATTTAAAATTTAAATGTTTTATTTATAATTGAAACTCTAAATAAATTTATGACTATCTAAATTAATATTTATAATTTATTTTTTAAAAAAAATTTATGAGGGATTAATTGTCATAAATTTTGAATTTTAAAATTTTATTGTCATTCTTCCAATTTCTTTCAGGTGCTCAATTTACTCTTTGTAGACCCAACCATTGATTTTGCACTTTCGATTTAGTAGAACTCACATATGGGCAGAGAGTGTGAATAGGTTAGGCCTTTAATAGAGCCCTACAATTTAACCTACTTCAAAATTAACCTAATGTATTTACTAAATAGCCTATGAGAAGCCAGCCTTTTTACACACACACACACATATTATGTAATACTCCTTTCGTTCAAAAATATAAAGTATTTTTAATCAAATTTTACTTTCAATAAAATAGTTACCTACTTTTAAATTAACTCTATTTTTTATATTTATTTTTATTAAATACCTTATAATAAATATAAAATCACTATTAATAGGAACACTTTTTGAAAAAAGGCAATGATTACACTTAAAAAGATTAAAAATGTCTTATATTTTTTAACATCTAACCCCTCAAAAAATGCCTTACATTTTTGAATGAAGGGAGTATATCACAAACACATCAATTTCACCATTTAATTCTTAATCAATCTATTCTTTTTTAATTCTAATTATATTTTAAAGCATATTGGACTTATATATTAATTTTAATGTTGTTAGTTGTTACTGTATTGTTATATTATATTATATTGTAGTTAATAAATTCTTTCAATTATTATATATTATAATTGATAAATCAGGTTATACATTATAATAGTCCTAAAATATATTTGAGACGTCTAAAACTAAAATGCAAGTCTACTTAAAAAGTTTACTTTTAAGTAGACATTTAAATAAGCTTTTAGATTAGGGCAAGTCAGGTTAAGTTTTAGATAAGCTCAAGCCTAAGCCGTAAAAAAAGCTTTATACAAGTTTTAGACCAAAATTAAACATCTAATTTATTATATAAGCTCAGGCTTATTTAACAAAAACTTAACTTAGCCTAACTTATTTTCACTCCTATTTATGGGTTGAGCATATTATTACCACTTTATCTTTGTCATTTGTTGGCTTAAGAAATAGTAAACAACTTTTTTTTTTTCAATTGATCTCTTAATTAGGATATCATAGTATTTGAAAAAAATTATAAAACGTGGACCGTCTAGCAAGCTTTAATTTGATTTGAATATTTTATATTTAAATTTATTTTTTATTTTGAAAGTAACAGAAGGTGGATGAAAATTTGTACTCTTAACAACAAATTCTTTAACAAATAGCAATCCATGAGGCTTTGGATTCAAAAAAACTTGTTGGTGGACGATGATATATATTCCTTTCGTATTTTTAATCAAATTTCACACTTAATAAAGTATTTATCTATTTTCAAACTAACCATATCTTTTTATATTTACTCATATTAAACATCCTACAATAAATATAGTCATTCATCAATATGGACACTTTTAAAAAAAATAAAAAAAGACAATGATTACACCTCAAAAGACTAAAAATGCCTTACATTTTTTAACATCAAACTCCTCAAAAAATGTCTTACATTTTCTAACAGAGGAAATAATTATTTTTGTAAGTGCTATTTAAATACAGAGACATGTCTTGATTCTGATGAGTTTTTAATATCCAACTCATTTAAACATGCTATAAAAAAATCTCAAAATTTGAGCCGTCCAAATGAAATTTAGAACTCATGAAGCTGTATTACATGAAATGGAATTAGAAAGCAAAAATTAAAAGTTGATTCTACATTTTAAAATTTAAATTAACCCATGTAGCTGGCAATCACTTGAACAATATTGATTCTACATTGTCAATGTATTTATTACGTCCAGATTAAAAGTTAAGGCAAATCTTTATTTAGTAGCGTGAAGAATCTAATGTGCTTTAAATCTTGATAAGGTAACTTTAAATTGAAGATGCATTATTTAATACTACATTTGCTAATTCCCCAATCTTCTGAAAATCTTTTGGCCAAAAGAATGTTCCATAATAATATTATGCTCTCTTGGTGTAGTTTCTAATATATTACTCTATCCGGCTTAAAATTTGGAAACAAGTTGGACATATCTCCTTTATTTCTCATATTTATTTATTTTTCAAATTAACCCTTTTTTTTTTACAAATATGTGCAATTAATATGAGTATTTTTCAATGTAAATTATTAAAAAAAGATGGATATTTTAGACAAACAAACATAGATTTTTTTACAAATAACTAACTTAACTAATTTTATTTGTTTATATAAATTAGTTATATCTAATTTTTATATTTAAGATAGCAGAAATTACTTCTAAATAGATTTTTTTGGGGGGGGGGTGATGAATTTGATGTAACTAGTTGATACTCCCCCATTTAATTTTATAAGACATTTTTCAATATAATTTGCAGTCCTAAAATATAGAACATTTTAAAAAAAATCAAAGTTTTATTAATGATTATTATTCTAATATTATTCCTCATTAATTTATTGTATTTAAGGTGGATATTTTTAAATTTTATAAAAAAAATTAACATTATAACTTACATTTAATGAATTTTATTAATAAGTTATATTCACTAAAAATATTTTATAAATTAAGATAGAAAAAATATTATGAATAATTTAAATTTAAGAAAGGTCAGTCATGAATGACAGGTGATTACTTTTTTATTTTTGAAATGCAAAATTCAAATGTGCAACCTCTGCCTAAAAGATATCGAATCTTTTTAACTCCGCCCAATCTCTATTGATACAAAATAGAATATTTTGATTTTTGATGCCGACCATACTTTAGGACTAAGCAAGAAGGATCATGACGCTATAGGATTTCAAAAGTTTAAAATCTCAATTTTTTTCCTTCTTATTAACATTCAAGAAAGAATCTATTTTTTTCTCATGAAAACATATAATTTGGAAATCTTAAAAATAATTAAACTGAAAATTTTGGAAACTCAATTATAATCATTTTCAGTTAAATATTTATTTCCATATTAATTTTTTAGTTCCAACTAACTTTTTAA